TTACTCAAGGTAAAATAATTCTGGATTATAGACTATATACCTATTTGGACAGTCAGAGAACTGTCAGGGATCCTGAATGAATGAATATTCTCTCTTATGCTATGAAAGTTGTACCAGCCCATAAGGTTACCTAAAAAAAAGGCATAAAGCAATTTTCATCTAACAGAAAAGTCAGAGATAAACTGGATCAAATTGAAGATAACAGAACCTCAAGGATAAATAGTTAACAACCTCATTTTCTAATTGCTTAATTCTAAAGGGATATATCCATCTAAAGGGTATCCTAGATTAGTATGGTTAGGAAAAAATCTTTAATTCTCCTTTACTACTGTCATTTTAAATCATTTTCTTGATAAATAATGATACAGTTTTTAATGAAGTTTTTAACAAATATTAAATATTGCTATTGTTACCACATGATTATTTATATTCAGTTTAATGACGTATCCACAGAAAGAAAAAAGTAGGTGCTAAGCACATTCTCATGTGAACTCTATAAAGAGAAATAGTAATGATAATGATACTGCAACTGTACATACTCAAACTGATCTTAAAGTCATTTAAGATGTAGTGAGTTAAGTATATGTATAGCTTTATTTAGAATTTTGCAAAATAAACATACAAATTATGACAGCTTCTAAACAAAAATGACATATTCCAAAAGTTAGAGTATTACATTTAAAAATGAATGTAATATTTTATCCAACCCTGATTTTAAAAAGGCAACTCTGAATCTACAAGCTTACAAGAAATAAAGTAAATTGGACTAGATAAAATATACAGGGGAGTGTTAAAATCTCACCTTACACATATTTGACCAAGAATTTATATTTTTTAATGAGTTCTGCAATAAATATCACAAATAATTGACCATTTCTCATACTTATTATATGCCCAATCCATAACTACTGTGCTGGTATGATCCTTGAAAATCCTTCCAAAAGGTTGATAATCCTAAAATGAATTATGCTTCTACTAGAACAATGCCATAATTGGTATGGCCTTCCTGATCAAGGAGTTAGCTTCAACAAACCAGAGCTTTATCAAATAATGCATTACACAAAAATCTATACATTTATATAATAAATTAAAATGTCAAAAATGTACATAAACACACCACACACAATGATCGTACTGGAAGCCTTAATTCACTGCTATAAAAACATATATTACTTCCTAACCAGCAATTTTATCTTTATTTCATTCATAATTATTAGATGCCTATTTCTACACCAGGCACTATACTAATTACTGGAAGAAATGCCAGTATATACACAATTTCTTCCACTTAAAAGACGTAAGTCTAGCAGGTAAAATGAGACACAAATTACTATGAGGTGGGTGTTATATATGTGATACAATATAGACAGGCATTCAGAGGAAATGTCTAGTATAGTAATGACTATACTATATATCTAAAAATGTTAGTATAGGAATTCATCTAAACGGATTAAATGTATATATAGTTAATCCATGTAGATAGGCCATCCATCTAAAATTATGCCAATTATCGACAAATGTAAGTTCTGTGATTTTCCTTCTTAAAATATATAACAACTGAGAATGATCGGTGTGACTCCATTTCCTTAAAGATATTAATGGCTTCCTTTTCTCACTAAATGTCCCTGTAACAGCAATGGCTTTTGCTTTAATTCTATCAACAATGAGTTACACCAAAAGTTGCAATCATTATTTAACCTCCAAAAGGCCATTAACATAGTAGAAAGTCTCATTAAGGATTTCAGAAACAAGATGAGAAATCGTTTGAATCACATCTTCTAATCATCATCTTTTTCTCTTAATTTCAAACTTGAACAACTTTCATGCCATAAAATGGAAGTATGAAGATGCATATACCAAATGAGGCTATGGAGAAAGGGGAACTCTTGTGCACCATTACTGGGAATGTAAATTAGTATGATCACTATGGTGAAAAGTTTGGAGGTTCCTCAAAAAACTAAAAACAGAACTACCATATAACTCAACAATCTCACTGCCAGTTATATAGCCAAAAGAAAGGAAATCAATATATCGAAGAGGTATCTGAGCTCCCATGTTTATTACAAAATTATTCACAATAGCCTAGATTTGGAATTAACCTACTTGTGCATCAAAGGATGAATGGATAAAGAAAACAAGATATCTATACACAATGGATTATTATGAAGCCATAAAAAGAATAAAATCCTATCATTTGCAACAACATGGATAAAACTGGAGAACATTATGTTAGTGAAGAAAGAAAAGTTTTGCATGTTCTCACTCACATGTGGGAGCTAAGAAATTCCTACAAGGGATCTCATGGAGACAGAGAGTAGAACAATGGTTACCAGAAGCTGGGAAGAGTAACAGGAAGCAACAGAAAAAAGTGTGGATGGTTTATGGGTAGAAAAAATATAGTTAGATCAAATGAACAAGATCTAATATTTGATATCACAATAGGGTGACTATAGTCAACAATGTTATTATATATTTTTAAATAACTAAAGGAGTGAAATTGTAATTTTCCAACACAATGAAATGATAAATGCTTAAGGTGATGGATACCCCAATTACCGTGCTTTGATTATACACATTGTATGCCTGTTTTGAAACATCTCATACACCCCATACATATATACAAGTATATGTACTCATAATATTTAAAAAATAAAAAGGCAGTTCCTTAGTTCAAATAAACATCAAAAATACATGTTGCCAAAAAAAAAAAAATACATGTTGCAATTATTACTGCTCTAAAAGAAAAAAATAACCGAACTATGGATGTATTCTTAAATACATACAGTTGCCTAAATTATTTTGGAAGAGTAATATAGAAAATGTGTCACTTTTCACACATACAGCTACAGTTCCCTAAATATATGTTACTTGTTTCACATATATCTAGAATCACCTAAAGAATCCTTGCATTTCTTCCTTATATTGCTAAAAGTTAAAGAATATGTTCCATGCATTTTATATTGACTATTAAACTATAAATCAGAAGTCCTCAAACTTTTTAAACAGGGGGCCAGTTCACTGTCCCTCAGACCGTTGGAGGGCCGGTGTAGAGTGCAGCGCACATCCCACACATGAGCACTGTGGGCCGTGGACAAGTTGGCTGCTAAGCAGGACAGGCAGCAGCGGCAAAAACACCCCGAGGGCGGCTGGTGGGCCATAGTTTGAGGAAGCCTGCTATAAAGTAACTGAAGAAATAACTTGCAAAACCCAAAGGAAAACTGTAAAATCGTGAAGTAAATTTGGTAAGTCTCTTTTGGAAATTCAAAAGTTTCAGTATTTATTTCAAAACGTTTCATCTGTAAATCCATGAGCAGTATTTTTTTTCAAGTTTCTCCTGCAACCTTGATAGCCATTCCACCACGATGGCAATGGTGCCATGCTGCCATCTAGTGGAAGAACTAAAACACTGCAAAGACACTTCCGAACATATATAGGCCTTGAGAGAACAAAATCACTTTTTTGTGTTTTGACATTTTAAGTTCTAAATCTTGAAAGTCAATCTGACAAGAAGAGTAATTTTGTGATGTTACAAAGGTAATCATTTAAATTAAATGTAAATAATTTAAATAAATTTGTAGTAATAATTTTCCAATAATATAAATGTAATGCACATTTTACATTTAATGTAAATAAATAGTAGGAAAAACACAGGAGATACAAAAGAATATGTAAAAGGCCTGACTTCAGGCAAGTTGAATAAGTAGTGTGCAACTATTAATATAAGCACTTCTCTTTGAAGAAATAACAAAAATTTTGTGATGAGAAATGTTTCATAATACTCATTAGTCCTTTTAATGTTGCATCAATTGGAAGTCTTTTTAACATATTATAATACTTGGACTAAAAATGTCAATTGCAATAATAATGATACAATATTTTCACATACAAAAGAAAGATGAAATATATCTTTCTATAAAGAAACACACACACAAAATTATTTTTTAGTATAATGGAAAGAGGCACCCATTGTCATTTGTTGTTTTCTAGCTACCCATTTGCCAAGATTAAGAAATGACCAAGCCAGAAAAATGGCTAGAACTTTTGACTCTAAGCACAATGGCTTTGCTATCACACAATGTTACCTTACTAAGTTAAGGCATCTTCACGATATAACTGCCAGATCTCAATGACCTACTATTTTCATCTAAAACCTAATTATCTAAAATACATAAAGGTATCACAAGTGATTTATTTTTGAGCATGTTACACATATGTTCATGAATAGGTGGGTAGACAGATCAATTATTTTAAGGAAACATTTGTCAATAATAATAGTTAACTATACTGCTAAAAAAGAGGATACATTTTTGAGAAAGTAAGCAAAATGGTCTACAAAAGGTAAGCCCTACTCTAATAATTGTGAAAAATGAAGCCCTTGGTTGCAGTCCTCGTGGACCGTGGGCTGCAGTCCTCTCATCTCTTCACACCCCTTGTTCCATCTCATACTATGAGGGAGCTTCAGACACATGCCTCTAGGAGACCCCAGCCCACAGGTGCAAGCCCAGACCATACCTCCCTACACACACCCCACCCTCAACCTCAACCTAAAAGCAGGCTCTGCAGTTTGGACCAGCAATCTGGTAACTCTGTTACCTCCAACATGTTCCAGCTTCGGACGAGCAACTCACATTGGACTCCAGGGGCTCCACATGAGCTCCTCACCCTGTGTGGAGGGGCACTACGGAGGCACAGCCACAGCAGGGACCACTAAAATGTCTAAGGGTAGGACTGACTCAGGCATAACTGTGGTTTATACAAGGACATTTTCTGGAGAACTGTAGGATGGATAGATGGTGCGAAATGATGATGTCAGAGGGTGCACTCCTGTTTGACCCACGAGGATCTCACGTGGAACATCAGTTTCTCTGACTTGTGACATCAACTATCAAGACCAATTTTCCCTTAAAATATGGGGCAACCATCCTTCAGTCTGTGTTCATTTCACAAAAGTCATGATTATGCCAGACACACATGGAATAAAGACGGACATATATACTTACCATACTGTTCATTTTTGAAGACGAGGAGCCCGCTCTTTGCTTTCTTAAACTACTAACTTCTTCTACATTTCCATCTTTTGGTTTCAAAATCATTCTGCTACTCCCTGCAGTTCCTTCTGATGAGGATCGCAGTCGCCGCTCTATAAATCTTCCTTCACGATACGGACTGAGGCTACTGGCAAGGACTATTAGAAGAGAAATAAATAGAAAACTAATGTAGATATTGAAATGTGGTTTTTATAAATGTTCCATTGAAAGAGAATGGAAAATTTCCAGTGGTGTCATTCAAAACTTCTTTATCACAAAAAAATTTTTAAAGTTTTTATAGTGGCAGTTTGGTTTGCTTAATCATGTAATGGTTTTGCAGCCAAAAATTGTTGGGAGTCAGCCTTAGTTAGGGCTTCCTAATAATTGGCATTAATGAAATAAACAAATCTTGTTTGTATTTCCTTCAGATTGTAAACAGGATCTGATCACTTCTCACTCACCCCCCCCCACCCCCCACTGAGATCCTGGACCAATTCCCATCCACACCTGCCCAGGTTAGGACAATTCTTGCTATAATTCCTCCATATACTCCCACCTGCCTCTTCACCACCACAACACACAATCTACTCTCCACGTAGTGGTTGGAATGATATACTTAAAACACAAGTGAGACCCATCACCATCAATCACCCCTCTAGTTATAAAGCTGATGTTTTTCAGGTGGCCTACCAAGTTTCTCATGATTCGACCAATCTCTCTGTCCTCACTTCAGGGAGAGGGGGCCACCCTGTTTACCTGTTCACTGTTCCAACCTCATCTTCTGCCCTCCCCTTCCTTCACTAGACTCATGCCACACCGGACCGCTTGCTGTTCCTGGAACATTGTAGGCATGCTCCAGTCCCACAGCCTGTGTCCCATGACCTTTGCACTAACATACTTCTCTCAAATGTCTGTATAGCTTACTCCCTAAATGCCATTCAAATCTTTGCTAGTATGTTATTTTAGGTACCACCCTCCTCACCATATTTAATGCAAACTGCAATCCCCCCTCTGAATCCTTTATTCTGCTTTAAATTTATCCTCAGCAGTTATCACCATCTGATACTTATTTTATTTAATTGCATCTTAATTGTCTGAGTATCCCCTGCAGAAAATACGCTTCATGAATATGGGGATTTAGACTTGTTTTTTTCACTGCTCTATCCCTAGTGTCAAAAACATTGTTAAAGGAATAAATACTTATTGAATGATGAATGAGTGAGTGAATGACTGAAATGTCCTATTTAGGTTCCTCTACTAATTAAAAGACTATCCAGAACCTATTACTTCAACATATAGCCATTCTTTTTAAATAGCTTTTAAAGCAAATGAATAAAAATTAAATTGCCATATAGCTCAATATTACATCGGTAATTGTGTTATGATTGTACACCCAATACATTTGGATGTGTATTAAGTATTAGCTTAAACCTTTCATGATAAATACAAAACAAATTTAGTACTGTGGAAGTTAGTGTGTATAGCAACAGTCTCTTGCTTAAAATACATTTACTTAGCTGGTTTTAAAATTTTTGAACTTCTAAATTATAAAATCCTTATGAATAGCACAAGAATATTCTCACAAAATAAAGAATAGCATGCTGTTATCTTTTCCTTGTTGGTATTACCAGCTTATTTATCCAGGAACAGGCAACACACTGTCAAATCTGTGAAATTAATGTATTAATGCCTTACAATTAGGATCTCAGCCAACAGATTAATAGTCACCAAGATAATTGTTGGTCATTGCCTAGTTTCCATAGAGATAAAAATATACAATATTCAGTTAGACATAAGGTAAGTCATCACAGCTAAATAAGAATTGGTTATATAAGGATAATTGCATTTCTATTCTTTTCTGTGCCATTTTTAAAGAAAAAGTAGCTGGATTCCAATCTGCAGTCCACCATTTGCTAATGATGTGACCGTAAAGTTATTTATCTTAATCTTGAATTTTAGTTACTAATAACTGTCATGCAAAATTTTTGTAAGGATTATATAAAATAGTGCATGTAAATTTCTTAGCACATTTTTGGGCACATATTAAGTGTACAAAAGGGGGTAACCTTCATCAACATCATCATCATTATCATTATATTCTCATAATTATAGGTAAAGAAGTTATTAAGCAGGTATGACTAAAGCCAAGACCACGAACAGACTACCAAGTTTAAAATATAAAAAAAAGTAGTCAGGTACATAAAAGTGATCTTGTATCCAATGTGAAAAATACTCAGACAGCTGGAGAATTAAAGTATGCATTTAAAACGTTAACATTGATATGTTTATGGAGGGACTATATAACCCTGTGACTCCTGACATAGTAATATATCATTTGACTTATTATAAATTTTATTTAACATTTTAGATCATGACAGGCAGTAAAGTATATTACGAAGAGCCTGAACTTTGGACTCAGACAGCTGCAATTTGGGTGTGCTACTTACCAGCTGTATGATTTTTTAACCTCGGTTTTCACGTGTGTAAAATGGGAAACACACAGCCTACCTCACAGGGTTTGTATCCCAATCAGTCATTTATTAACCCTGTGACTGAGAACAAATAACTTATCTGTGCTCCAATTTTCTTGCCTGTAAAAGAGCTTACAATATAATAGTAGCAATTTTAACCATTTTTTAGCCAATGTATGCAAAGTACATAGAATAGTATCTAAGATATAATAATTATTTTTAAAATTGGGAAAATTAGTAGTATCGTGTTTTCCTGAAAATAAGACCTACCCATAAAATAAGCCCTAGGAGGATTCCTAAGCATTTGCGCAATAGAAGCCCTACCATGAAAATCAGCCCTAGTGACGGGCGTGGCTAAGCAGCGCATCTGCACAACCCATGCATTTCGTTGCGGAGCGGTAAAGAAGACGAGCAGCCCTTCTCATCTGCCCCATCGTGACAGGTACTATAAAGATCCCAGAGGTGACCAGAAAGGTGCGGGCAGCACCATCAACAAGGTCGGCTCCCCCTGTCAGGTCCCAGCCATCCTGTGCATCCTGCAAAGCTAAGGCTTTGAGGGGAAAATAACACATCCCCTGAAAATAAGCCCTAGGGTGTCTTCTTGGGGAAAAATAAATATAAGACCCTGTCTTATTTTCGAGGAAACACGGTAGTAGCAGTAATGATAGTAGAGAAAAAAAGCATTAAAAAGTAATGTTTAATATAGTCCAGTAGGTGGTACATATTCAACAATTTTCTTAAGCTGAATTTTATGTTAAATAAACATAGTTTTCTTGAGCCAGATTAGAATACACTCCACCTTTCTCTTTTAAACCAAAGAGAAGGCATCCAAAGTTACACAGCCAGTGACTATCAGAGGCAAGTTTGGAACCCAGGTCTCCAGCTTCCAAGAATAGTATTTTTAAAGCTTGAAATTCTGTTGCGTCTAGAGATAAGAATTATTTATGCTGAAACATGGATTATTTGTAATAACAAAAGCTTTGTTAACATAGGACATGGCATTGAATTATACAAATTTTTATAGTGATTTTGGCTGGAATATATCAATTACATTACATGAAATACCAAAATACCTCCATAATGAACTCAAGCCACATTGCAAATAGAATTAGTTTCCTCCCATTTTCTTCCGAGGGTCAGAATCTGGGTACCATAACTAAGAAAAATAAATAATATGGCTAAATTAACTTAACAGCATAATGTAATTGAGGTAAGTATAAAATCAAGCAGCAGAAATACTTAAATTATAAACAGGAAAGAATGTATATAGTGAAAAATAAGGAAAATGTGGTTTCCATTCATGAGATGGAATAAGAACATTGAGTACATTTTAATGAAAATTAATTCATACCATTTATTATACAAAGAAAATGAGCATACCTTTGGCAGGATTTGCTTCATATCCATACGATGTTTTGTTAAAAATATGATGATCACCACAGTAGGGTATTATCTTTGAATCTGAAATAGGATGGATCCCTTTAACACGCTCAGCTATTGCTTTATGTTGCTCACAAAACCCAAGTTTCCTTGGGGAGCATGGCCCCAGCATTGTTTCACCATTTTGTAATCCCATGTTTCCTTCTCTTTCAGTATCTACTGGTGGGTTAGTCTCTGAGTTGCTCATACTTGTAACAGGTAGTTCAGTGATTTGCAATAACACTTCCTTCTGATTAGCAGCAGAGGTTTCTGGCGAGGAATTAGATTCAGTGCTACATCGACCTTCTAACCTGTATTTCCCAGGAGACATAATTGCACAGGGAACAGTTCCCATAAGTTCTATTGTCGTCTTTGTAACAGCAGCAGGATTAGGAGAGATCTGAGAGGTAGAATCATTGTGGCCAAAGTTGTCACAGTGGGATGCTATGCTTCCACTTTTAGGAAATGCATCCATTTCAGACACAGAATCTTCAGTCAAGGCTAAAAATTCTGACGGTGTCTGAGCTGTGGTAAGATCAGCAGAAAGCAGAGGAGATTGTAAAGAGCTTCCAGCCCGTTCTGTTACATCCACAGAACACGGTGTAGAAGCTCTTACCAATACAGGTTCTCTCTCTTGGTACTGTGTAATTTCCAATGAGAATTCTGACTGTTGTACCAATGAAATGGATTGGCTCTGCACAACTGGCTTTGAAAATTTATAGTGAGATGAAAAAGATTTAGGGAGTAGCTTCCTTGTTGACTCCTTAACAGAACGGCGAGTTTGTTCTTCTGTGAATCCAGAATCATCCCCCTCACTTTTGCCAGAACTCAGACAATTTATAAAGACATTCTTATTAGTTGAGTGCTCCTTTTCCCTTTCAAAATCCTCTGTCAATGATCTTGTTATCTTCTTATTTCGTGAACTACTAAAACGAACAGAATGTCTTCCCCTGGTTTTAATATGTTCTTCCAAACTCAGTTTCTGCATATTGCTGTGACCGGGTTGAGCACCATTTGAAATACTAAGGTTCTGATTGGTAGGTTCTTGCTTAGATTCACTCCCTTTTTTATGGTGGAAGCTAATGGAAGGCGTGCGGAATATGCTCCTGCGTTTACCTGTACTACCTGAGCTTGAGTTAGTACTGGAAGGAGAGGAACTGTGGACGACAGCTGTATTACTGGAAGAAGGTGAAGAAGGAAGAGAATCATGTCTTCTGCTAATACTTCTTCTGAATATTGGCAACCGGGAGACCAAGGTAGATCGTCTTGATCCTGAGTCCCCCATCGGGACTCTGAGGCTTGCGCTGTGATAGCCAACTTAGCAGCCTGAGAAGAGTTAAAGCAAAAAGAATGAGTCAGTAGAATCCAGTGATGAATAAGACATTTTAAAACAAAATGTTGTTTTGCAAGACACAGCATAGAATTCAGTCTCTACTAAAACAATATATGCTAAAATTCTAATAAGGATTTTTTTTAATGTATAAGTTGCAAAATGATCCAATAATGTGCATAAAAATTTATAATAAAATCTCAAGATTACCAAAAATATTTAAAGTCTATTCAAGAGTGTTAGATTGGGAGACACAAGATCATTATTTAAGACTCAGCCTTCCTGTGTACAACTGGTTCTATGATTTTGGCAATTTTTTTTTGGTAAGTTGTTTAATCTTTTCATGTTATTAATAATACTTTAATAATACTATTTTATAGTATTATATAAATAATAATACTTTAATAATACTATTAATAATAAATATTTATTTAGATGTAGTAGCCATGTGACTGCCATGATAAGTGCCCTCTGGGTAAATACCCCCCTTGTTGGAGACCACCAGATGCAACTATGTTTTACACCAGGTGACTCAAAAAGTTACTGACCTGAGCTTAACAGAATCACAGACTAGACAATGGTATGGTCTGACACTAAAATCCCCACTCAAAGATAAACCAACTGGGACAGATTCTTCTCCTTGGAGTTAGACTTGGGAAGTTCAGAGATAATTACTGGCAGACGAAACTAAATCACAAATGATATAGAGTAGGATTATAAACAAGCTAAACTTATGGAGGAGCCCCAGCTATACACTGAAGAACAGACTTGAATGAAAGCTAAAAGAAATGGTAATCTGGAGAGAAGTGAGAATACATACTGAGAGAATAAGAAGCATGGAAGATTTATGAACCACAGTGTACTCAGGGTACCGATGGTAAAGAAGGAGGAGGAAGAAGAGGGATATAGAAGTTCATCAACTGTGATATACCAAGTATTAATACTTTTCCACAGATTATCTCTTTTTCTGTTTATAACTCTAGAAGTAGGTAATATCACTATGGACATACAGCAAAAAAGGAACTTGCCTAATGTCACTCGGCTAACAAGAGGTAAAGTAGAAATAAGAAAATAGTTGTTACCTAACTACTGGTTCAGCTCAGAACCAGTATGGAACATACTGCTTTCACTAGAGCCAAAAGCCAAAAATTGCCACAGCTGAAAGTCCAGACAAGCTTCCACTGCAGGGGAAACTCCTAGTTGTACAACCAATCTTAGCTATTTTGGTGACTGCTATTTTTCACTGATTTTAAAAATCAGTGATTGAAATTCCCTGATTTTGTTCCTGTTCTGTTTTGCTTTATTTTTAAATTTCATTTAATCCTTCAACTGTGATGTCCACCTCCCCTTTTTCACTGTGAATCAGACTCTATTTCATGTTATAATAGTTTTTTGCAACCCAAACTACCTGACTAAATACTAATAAATACTACACAAAATTACATATCTTCCACTTTTATTGTCATTATAGATATGAAAATCAATCAAGTAAAATACTTTCATTTCCTTGAATATGTGACAAAAATGGAAAATATTTTCTTTCAGCTATGCATCCATAAATATATGATATTGCACTCCAAAAAAAATATAAAAATCTAACAGATTTTCATTTAAGATTTTTTTTAGGTAATTTTTCACTGCAATCACTGAATTTAGGTTAATTTTTTAAATTGATTCTATTTTTAACAGACAAATAATGATTGTGTATATTCATGGGGTACAATATGATGCCTTAATATGTGTTTACATCATAGAATAATTAAATCAAGCTAATTAACCATCATATCACATACATATCACTTTTTATGGTGAGAACATCTAATCTACTCTTTTACCAATTTTGAAATATATATTATAAATTTATATAATATATATTATAATTAATATATTAATTATTATATTAATATATAATGCTGTGCAATAAATCTCTTTCTTATTCTTAATCTTCCTGTCTGACTAAACTTTGGACCCTTTGAACAACATCTATCTCTCCATTCCCCTTGTCCCTAGACTCTGATAACCACCATTCTACTCTCTACTTCTGTGAGTTCTACTTTTTTAGATTACACATATAAGTGAGATCATGCAGTATCTGTCTTTCTGTGCCAGGCTTACTTCACTGAGCCTAATGTCCTCCAGGTTCATCCACGCTGTCACAAATGACAAAATTTCGTTCTTTTTTAAAGCTGGTTAGTATTACATTGTGCATAGATACCACATTTTTTAAAATTTTCATTTAGTACGGATTTGGCAGTCCGCTTTGTTTGCAAATCCAATAGACTATAGTTCTTTTCAGGGATTTTTTTTAAGTGTTGCTCCAATATGTTTCCACTGCTCCTGAACAGTTGCTACCAGAGCACAGAGCTGAGAAGAGCAGTCAGGTCTATCTATCTTCGGCTTTCATGCGGTAATTTGGAAATGGAATTGTCTTTGGAAAACCTTCCTTGTTAATTTTGAAGTTTGGATTTTTTGTGCATCCAAATACCTTTTTCCTGATGCAGCTATGGAAAAGCCATGTCACCCTGTACTTTGCCAAAGGAAAATGGTGGGAAGCATCATTTCTCATGCCCCCAACACGTATCTTGAATTTAATGATTATGCCAATGCTGAAACAGTACCCAGCATACACATTTTTTAGCAAAGATAATGACTCATGTACACAGGAGATTAACTCTACTTCAGGAAAGTATTAAAATGCATACTAGTCATATTCAAACCATTTTGTAAACGAGAAAGCACCTACCTAGTCATTGGTTCTGTTTTCTGCCTTCCACTCCCCTAAATAACTAAAATACATGGAGCAATTAGATGAGGAACAGTAGATTGCAGAGGTTAATTACTTGCATTCTAGAACCTGAATGCCTGGGTTCAAATCTACTATGTATTTAAACATCTATCAACCACTTAATCTCTCTTCGCACAGGTTTTTCTTTTGTAAAATGGTATAATGAGAATAACAACAGTATCTATCTCCCAGGCTAGCCATGAGACTTAAGTGTGAAATAATTAGAAGCATAACTGACTGTTATAAATATTAGGCTGTTTTACTATTACTATGTTATTGGTATTAATCTTTTTTCAGAATATTACAGGAGTGCAAATGTTTTGGTTGCATGGATTGCTTCTGTGCTGCTTGACTCAGTTATAAGTGTGCCCATCATCCAAAAAGTACATTGTACCTGTTAGGTTTGATTTCACACATCCTCTCCTCCCCACTCCCACCTGCTTGATTTTCCACTACATTTTACACAGATGGAAGTAAAACATATTTTCTTTATCCATTCATCAATTGATGGACACTTTAGTCTGTTCTATATCTTGGCTAATGTGAAAACACCACAATAATCATAGGAGTGCTGATATCTCTTTGACATACTGATTTCAATTCCCTTGGATATATTCCCAGAAGTAGAATTGCTGGATCATATAGTAATTCTATTTTTAGTTTTCTGAGGAACCTCCTTACTGTTTTCCATAATGGCTGTAGTAATTTACATTCCTAGCAATAATGTGCAAGGGTGTCCTTTTCTCCACTTGAATTTGAGTTTAAATCAAAGTATATGTGAACCACTCCCAAAACATTTCAGTATTCTTCTAAGGCTTTGGTTGAAGAAAGCTTAAAATATAAACAGAGACATTTTAGCTCTTGAAATTTTCACAAGAATGTATCACATTCCTCACAGCTTAGAATTTCCAAAGTGGATACAATGAATAATACATTTTTTCATGATTTTACTTTATAAAATGTTTTAATTACCATCATTCTCAGCTGTGATTTTTTTTTTATTTATACATATCATTTATTTCCATTCTGTGCCTACTGAAGAATTTTGCTCTAATGAGAGCATTATCAACCACAAGCATTTGTAGCTGGTTGTGAACCTGTGGACTTCAATGCATTTAATGTCAAGATATTAACAATCATTATACTGAAATATTTCTTGGCCTTTTTTTTTCTGCATTTGGGTCATCATTAAAAATAAAAGAATGACAAAGTTCGATATCTCTTTAGCAAATCATTCAAAGACTTTAATAAAAAAAATTTCAGAAGAAAATTATAATGGTAACTCTTCCTCCTAAATACTTAATGAAAACAGCCAGAATTCCATAAAGTACAAATAATTCATTTAGGTTACTGCTATGTTTGTTCTGATTTCTTTACATAAAAACATCATAGATACTAAGAAAAATTTGCACATTGAATGGGATGACCTAGAGTGGATATAAAATCTATTAGAGCTAAAAAACCCTTTAGATTTCACTTTGTCTTTTATATGTCCTCCTATTTCCTACTGAGTGCTTTCCAGCTGAATGACAGAAATATAAGCCACAGGTCAGAATTATTCATATTTTTTAGGAAGACTCTTCAAAGCCTGCATGCTCTCTGTATCTCCAGATTCATTACTCCTCTCTTGACATTTCATTCAGACACTGATGAGTGCCATTTTCCATTCACTTTCACCTTTGGGTCTTTGTAGATGTGGGTCCACTTGCTTAGGATGTGTTACCTGTAATTCCATGTGGCAACACTCCTACTATGATAACGCTGCTCCTTCCACAATGCCATACCTAACACCCTCTTCCCAACCTCTCTCATTTTGGAGCTGATACTTCTCCATTAAGTATTCTCAAATATTAACTTACATCATAAGCATCCATTTATTTATCTGAATTTATTATCTTATCTTAAAGCTTCTTAATGGCAAAGATCATCTCTGCTTTACTAATTGTAAAATACAAATTGTGGTCAAACTTCCCTACATTTACATTTTTATTGGAATTTATAAATAAATGATATTATTTGAAGTGTTTGAAGGGAATGTTGCATAAGTTAAATCTGGTCCCAGCTCTATTCTTTCTCAAAAAAGATTTCAGAAATAACGTGGTTGAGCCTAAGTGATCCTACTAAAAAGAAAGTGTTCTATACGTTGTGAAAATGCAAGAAAGAAAATTCACAAAAACGAAATATTCTCCTAGATAAAAATTTTCAACATTA